TATTACCGTTGCAGGCGTGCAACCCGCTCCGATTTCATGTATTACCGTTGCAGGCGTGCAACCCGCTCCCATTTCATATATCGACACCAAACATAGAAGAATCCCGACAAGGGAACAACAATACAACAACAACATCCCGACAAGGGAACAATAATATAACAACAACATCCCGGCAAGGGAACAAGAGTATGACAACAACATCCCGACAAGGGAACCAACAATGATAATCATCATATTAGACATGGATAAATCACAACGGAGTCACAACAATTACAATACTAGACTCACGGGCATGCTTGACACTGACGTATAGATACTCGTCACCATGCCTATACGTCGTACTCCACAATTAACACATAGAAAATACGACACAACTCCTAACCCCTCAAGCTAAGGTTAGACCAAACAGTTACCTCGATGCCACGAACACAATTCAAGCCTCAACTACCGATTTACCTCTTGATTCCACCACCAATTCGCTTGTATCTAGCCACAAGTCACTTAACTATATCAATAAATGCTAAATGAATCAATTCTAATGCATGAAAATAGGTTTTATAAAGTTTTTTCCCAAAAGTCAAAAATCGACCCTGGGCCGCTTGGTCCAAACCCGAAATTCGGACCAAAACCCGATTACCCATTCAACCCTGAGCCCGAATATATATTTGGTCTTGGAATCCGACCTCAATTTGAGGTCTAAATCCCCAAATTTCATTATTCATAGGTTTTACCCAAAATTCCCAATTCCACCATAAAACCCTAGATTCTAGGATGAAATCTTGTAAAAAGAAGTTAAGGAGTGAAAGAAATGAGTTTAAGATCACTTACTAATGTTTTGGAGAAGAAAGAGTGTTTGGAAAATCGCCTCCTATATTTTTAGGGTTTTGAAAAATGAAAAATAACTGAAAGTTCCGTTTAAATATACTCCTCTCAGACCCTCTCCGCGGACCGCATAAAAAGGACTGCGGCCGCGGAGATCCACCGCGGACCGCAAGAAATCGAGCGCGGCCGCAAAGGTAAGGCCTTGCCCCACCGCGGACCACAAGAAATCGAGCGCGGCCGCAAAGGTAAGGCTTTGCCCCACCGCGGACCGCATAATCCCCACGGTGGTCGCGAAGTCCTGACTTCAGAGACCTGCAACTTTCTTTGAACCTGCAACTTTTCTAAGTGTAAAAAAATCCTGGAACCTATCCGAAACTCACCCGAGCCCTCGGGACTCCAAACCAAATATGCATACTAACTCAAAAACATCATATGGACTTGCTCGTGCGATCACATCATCAAAATAACATCAACCACTATGAATTAAGCCTCAAACTCATCATTTTCCTCAAGGACACTTAAAGTTCATTATTTCTCAACCGGACGTCCAAATCACGTCAAATAAACTCCATTCTTCACCAAATTTCATAGTTATCAATTAAATACTATGACAAGTTTGTACCGGGCTCCGGAACTAAAATACGGACCTGATACCAATGGTTTCAAACATTAATTCTTTTATTTATTTCATAAATAATTCAGCAAAACAATTTCTTTCAAAAATTGATTTCTAAGGCTTGGGACCTCAGAATTCATTTTCAGGCATACGCCCAAGTCTCATATTTTACTGTAAACCTCCCGGGATCATCGGAACACAGATCCGGGTCCGTTTGCTCAAAATATTGTCCAAAGTCAACCATAATCAAATTTTAACTCTACAAATTTCTATTTCTCATATTTTCATATAAAAGCTTTCCGGATATACGTCCAGACTATGCACACAAATTGAGGTGAGGTAAAAGGAGGTTTTTAAGGCCCCGGAACACAGAATTTATTCACAAACCAAGTGATGACCTTTTGGGTCATCACACAATGAGAAACAAGGAAAAGAAGATGGATGGATAACAGTGATTGGTAAATCAGCAGCAAGGGCAGCCAAAGCTAAACAAAATGAGGAGCAGAACTTGGTTTGGAACAATGGATTCCAACCTCTGAGAAATGATCAAGTAAATAGTGATCCAGGCACAAGCTGTATGTAGACGAGGAGTGTAGGGGTGCAGGAGCTGTATCAAGACACTCATTTCATACCAGTATGAGTGTGATCATATGGAATGTTAGGGAGTTTAATAAAACTTATAAGCAAAAGAAGATAAAGGAATTTATAAAAGTAAATAAAAAAAGCAGTAATAGCTCTAGTTGAACACAAAATATAGGAACAGAAAACTAGTGATGTAATGAAGAAGATTGCACCTGGATGGCAATGGATAACTAACTTTAGTGCAATGAAAAAAAGTAGAATTTGGGTGATTTGGGATCCTAGAATCTATGTGTTAGATCCAACTGAAATTGATGAGCAGCTAATACATGGTCAGCTCAGAGCAGTCTCAAAGTTGTTTACAATTGGTTTTACAGCAATCTATGGGTTACATACCATCAAAGACAGGCAGAGTTTGTGGAGAAAGTTGAGAGAAATCCATAGTACACAGCAGGGGCCTTGGTTAGCAATGGGAGACTACAATGTTGTGTTAAATGACCAAGACAGACAACATGGCTCTGTGATTCAAGATATGGAGACAAAAGATTTTAAGGAGTTCATGAAGGATACTGGGATGAATGAGTTACAAACTGTGGGAATTAGGGAATATACCCGGACAAATAATCATACTTATAGTAGAATAGACAGGGGATTGGTTAATGCTAACTGGATGCTGACAATGCCAAGCTTGAAAATACAGGTGCTAGAACCATCTGTGTATGATCATTCTCCACTTAAACTAATGATTACACAGATACAGAGGAAGAAGAATAGGCCATTTAGATTCTTTAATTGTATAGCAGATCATCCTCAATTTATACAGCATGTTGAGCAAGTATGGAGTGTAGATGGAACAATGGTATGATGCAGGAAGTATGGAATAAGCTCAAAAGGGTCAAGGAGGTTATAAAAGGGATAAACATACAACATTACCAAGGGGTAGAAGATAGAATTAAACAAGCTAGGAAGGAGTTGCAAATTGTCCAAGAGAAGATGAGTGACATAATGCAACATCCGGACTTAATTGAGAGGGAGAAAACTTTAAAATGTGAATTAGAAAAATGGACACTGTTTGAAGAGAGTATCTACAAGCAAAGATCTAGAGTCCAATGGCTGAAGCTGGAAGATTCAAACTCTGCTTATTTCTTTGCACAAATGAAGAACAGGAATAACTTGAATGGTATTCAGGCTCTAAGGAATGACTTGGGGATTCAACTAATGCTAGAATAAGACATAGAGGCAGAAAAATTGGGATATTATAAGGAGTTGTTGGGTTCAAGAGCAACAAGTATCCCTGCTATTAATCCGAATGTCATGAAGATGGGAGCAATATTAAGTAGGGAGCAGCAGTTGCAACCCATCCAACCAGTGACCAAGGAGGAAATTTGGTTAGCATTGAAGGATATTAGTGACTTAAAAGCACCTGGCTATGATGGATTTAATGCAGTATTTTTCAGAAAAGCATGGAAAGTCATAGGAGAGGATGTGATTAAGGCTGTTATGGAGTTCTTTGAATTAGCTCAAATGTACAGACCTATCAACTGCACAGCAATCACTTTGATCCCTAAAGTAAGGAATCCTACCAGTATTAAGGAATACAGACCGATCTGTTGCCGCACTACTTTGTATAAAGTGATCTCTAAGGTCTTAACTAAGAGATTACAAAAGATGATGGATGCACTGATTGATAAAACACAGTCTGCCTTTGTTCCTGGCAGAGTGATAACAGACAACATTATTCTTAGCCATGAACTTATCAAAGGATATGGAAGGAAAGGGGTGTCACCAAGGTGTATGATGAAACTGGATATGCAGAAGGCATATGATTATATTGAATGGGCTTTTATGGAGCAGGTGCGGAATGCACTGGCTTTTCCAGAACAGTTTGTGAGATAGATCATGACATGTATGCAAAGTGTCACATATTTAGTCTTGGTTAATGGTTCATTGACACAACCTTTTGAAGCTAGGAAGGGGCTGAGGCAAGGGGATCCATTATCTCCATTTCTATTTGTGCTGGCAATGGAATATTTGACTGGAAACCTAAAGACTTTGAACCAGATTCCAGATTTCAAGTATCATCCCAAGTGTGAAAAGTTGCAAATTTTGCAACTTGGTTTTGCAGATGACCTTTTACTTTTTTGCAGGGGTGACATAGGATCAATCAAGCTACTTTATAACTGCTTCATGGAATTCTCAAAAGCTTCAGTACTGGTGATTAACAAGAATAAAAACTCAATATTTTTTGTAGGGGTATCACAAGATGACCAGGAAGCTATTCTGGAGTTTCTGGGAATCCAAAAAGGTGAACTGCTAGTTAGATACCTAGGAGCTCCATTAAGTTCTAAAAGAATATCAGTAGTTCAATGACAGCCCTTAATTGATAAAATAGTTGGCAGAATAACCTCATGGACAGCTAAATTACTATCTTATGCTGGAAGGATTCAATTGATCAAAAGTGTACTGTTCTCTATTCAAACTTACCGGGCACAAATCTTTGTGCTCCCAAAGAAGATCATAAAACTAATTGAGGCAATATGCAGAAGTTTTTTGTGGACATGGGAGGTTATATCTCTAAGAAAGCATTACTGGCATGGGAAAAAGTATGTCTGCCCAAATTAGTAGGAGGTTTCAATATTATGAGCATCACACTGTGGACCAAAGCAGCTATATGTAAACAATACTGGAACCTATGCAAAAAGAGAAAAACAAACTTTGGATTCAATGGATGCACAGTTACTACATCAAAGGTAGGAACATATGGGAAGTCCAACTGAAGCAAACATCATGGATGATGAGCAAGATTATGAAAGCAAAGAAGACATTTGAGGAAGCAGACTTTAATCATGAAGACATTAGAAAGATGAACCATTGTTCAATCAAGCATATATATCACAAGCTATGAGGAAGCTTCAGTAAAGTGAGTTAGAGAAGAGTTGTATGCAACAATGCAAGCTGCCCTAGGTGGACATTTATACTAACAATGATAGCAAATGGCAAGTTATATACCAAAGACAGGCTGAGTAAATGGGGAATACAAATTGATCGGGAGTGCGTTCTGTGCAGACAAGCAAGTGAAACTATTCAGCATCTATACTTTGAGTTCTCATATGCAGCTGAATTGTGGGGGAATCTGCTAGCTTGGCAAGGGATAAAAAGACCAGTATATAGATGGGCTGAGGAACTAGCATGTGTTGAAAAATGGCTGAAGAGGAAAAATGCAACAACTAAACTATATAAGATGACACTAGTAGCATGTGTATACTATGTGTGGCAAGAAAGGAATACCAGATGCTTCCAAGCTAAAGTGAGACGATGGGAGATACTTGGCAAGATGATTATACAGGAAATACATTGTCGAAGCAATAAGAATATGGAAAAAGCATTAAGTAGACTGGATCTGTACTCTATGTAAATAGACAAAATAGTATAGTAATAGAAATGTGGCAGGGGGGGGGGGGGGAGGGGAGGGAGAAGTATAGAAAGCGTAGGATATATGTAAGGTTTTTTGAGTTACTTGTAAATATTTCCCTAGTAAATGAAAGTTTTAATTACCAAAAAAAAGTGTTGAAACTAATTTTTTAATTAAACATTTATGTGTTTGGATAGACGTGCTGAAAGTGATAATAAGCAGTTGATTTGTTTGGCAGAAAAGTGCTAATAAGATATTCTTTTATTAAAATGATTAAAATACCCTTAAATTTTTTTATAAAATATTATTATAAATTAAGAAGTCTCTTTGTAAAGAAAAGTATGAACAAGGAATATGGACCGAAGAGAAAGTTAGAAAATTTATTTTGAGAAAAGTATATTATGAATTAAAAATATTACTCAGAATAAACTAGTAAAAGCATTGGTCAAACTAAAAGTGCTTATAAGCTGAAAAACCATAAGTTGGGGGTGACCAACTTATGACTTATGATCGAATTTAGTTTATAAATATCTAACTTATAAGCACTTTGGATGTCTACCAAATGCGTAGATAACCCAAAAATATGCATATAAGCCAGTTTGATGGACTTATAAGCTTAGCTAAACAACCTCTTATTTTAAAAAAAATAAATCAAAAGTAGTTTTGTTTCATCTTTGGTCACTATAATTTTTTTCTCTTCGTATTAGCGGTATTTGTTTATTGTAATTTTTAATTTCCTAATGGGGTTTAACAGAATATTCCTTCTAACTAATTCCCTTCTCGTTATTTCTTGCCTTTCCACCTACCGTTCTTCTCATTTCGATACAATTCCATTTTCTTCTTCTTCTTCTTCTCCCACACGACTCAATTTCCTCTTTTAAATTCTAAAGTTGACAGAAAAAAGAGTTACAATAATATTCCTCTATGAGAAGAGAATCCAGAAAACCCTTTCGGCGTTCCTTTCAGGTAAATTTCTTTACAAAGTCTAGATGCTATCTTCAATTCAACAATTCGCGTCCAAAAGCATTTTTCTGTTGAGGGGATGGTTTAATTCAGGCCCTTGAATCAGTTAAGCCTTTGTTTAATGAATTTGCAAAACAATTTCAAGAAATAAAGAAAAGCTCGAAGTTTTCAGCTGGGCAAAACCTATAATTTTTCGAGTTGATATACTTGACTGAGATTTCTGAATTGTATTTTGCTAATACCGATGATGCATACTGTTAAGTTATATGCACTGACAATGTAATAATTTTTTATAGCATTAGTGTAATTTAACATGTTATAACAGGTTATTAAGTAAAGCTGACTACGTTTTAAGTGACCTGATTGTGTAGATATTTTCTTACACTGTGATCTTAAACTCTTTCTTTTGAAGGTATAGTTGACTGGTAGAAAGGTGTTTGGACTTTGGGAGGTTGAGCATGGCATCTGTTTCCGGGTCTAAAGGTGGGGTGGTTGATGAAACATCTCCCGATTTGTTGAAGAACACACCGTCGAATATTAGAAGGTTAGCAGATGAAATTGAGCACTTAGAGGGTAGGCAAAAATACCTTGCTCAGACTACAAGTCCCTCAGATGGTGGTGATGTTCGTTGGTATTTCTGCAAGTTGCCTTTGGCTGTAAATCGTATGTTTTTGCTCGAACTCTAAACCTTTTAGGTCCAAATGTTGGCATTCATCTTTGCAAATCCATCTTATAGTCATTTGAGTGCTTTGGTTTGATCTCATTGAATTTTCTTGCTTTTCGGTTCTCTGCTGGTTGAAGCAGTGACGAAACTAGGAATTTCGCTAAGTATGTTCAAGATTTAATATGTAAAAATAAATAATTTTTGATCTATATATGCAGTATATAGATTTTTCTATATACACAACATAATTTTGGACGAAGGGTGTTTATGTGGCTCCACTACTGTGTTGAAATGCTTGTAGTGGATGTAGGATGTGGGACACATTCTCTTTTTTTTTTTTTTTTTTTTTTGGTTAAGTTAGTTAAAAGGTGAGAATAGAACACAATGGAATACCACTAGCTGGAACTACGGCTTAGTTGTGTTGTTATACGTACGTTTGGTCTTCTGTTTGTTAGGAGACTTTTTAGATTGGTGGGAGACTTGTATGACAATGTATCATGTGAAATTTATAGAATCCCTAGCTTTAGAGAATTCGTAGACCCTAAAATACCTTAAAAACAGATTATTAAAATGAAATAGGCCTGAATAAAGCTGAATGGATGTACAAGATTCATATTGTTGTAGCCAAGTTTTGGACTGAGGCATAGTCGAGTAATTGAATTGAAATAGAAGGTCGTTGATACATTTGCTCAAAGGAGGACGGCCACGTATTTGGCTCATGATATCATTCCACTTTGAGACTCTACCTTAGGAACAATCAGTTGAAAAAGCAACTTGCTAGTTTTTTCTTCTGTTTATGCTTTTGCTGTTCATTCTATGGTTCGGAAGATTTGTTCTTCTCCAAATGTTGCACTCCTTTTGAAATCAATTTCTACAGCTTCAAAATAAAAGATGCCAGGACTAAAAAAGCATACATAAGCTTTCTCAGTAGAACACTGCAGATTCTATAAGTCAGCTGTAACAGTAAGTGAAATTAAAGCATAGATTCAATGTTCTGCAAAGGAGTTCGTCATACAATCAGAAACTTTTTTTAGTTCACTATCATACAATCAGAAACATTAATCCTGACGAGTCAGCTTGTAGTTTCTGGTATAAAGTGTATTCATGAGTCAGAAATTCTGCAATAAGACGCAGATCTTCTTTAAACTTATAAGTCTATTTATTATAGATTTGTCAGTTACTATGAGCATGAGCTGTCGTATTCATGTATAAATCTAGGTTGTCCTTTGTGGATTTCACTTTTGCACAGAGCCAGCTGCAGCAGTCCCCCAGGCAGAGATAGTGGGGAAGGGTGATTACTTCAGATTTGGCATGAGAGATTCTCTTGCAATTGAAGCTTCATTCTTGCAGGTAATGTTTTCTGACTGGTGTTTTGTTTATTAAGACTTAAGAGTACTCCTCATCTGTAAAATAATTAATCTATGACCCAGTTAGTACATGAATTGTTGGTCGAGATAAAGATTTATTGCTCCATATTTACTTCACCTCTGCCTGATTATGCAAACTTTAAGTTTAAAAATGGTCATCATG